ACGAGCCAGTTTCATTCAAGGAAAAATGATAGTTCTACGGCTATTCTGAAAAACGAAGATGAATTATGTAAGAAATAAAAGAATATAAAGAAAACAATTCTTGTTTGAAAATGCGCATTATTAATATCGACAAGTTGTTTTATAAACGTGTGGAGTATAAACAAGAGGTTTGGCCTTCTATAAGGTGGTCAACATTGGCGTAACGTACGTTCAGATTTACCTTACCCTCTGCGCTGCATTTCGAATTGCCGAGATTCGGTATGGGAAAGTGATCGAGTGAACAAACCATATCAAATACGCACGGCGATCAATTTTTCATAAATCATTGCCGCCCCACTTTGTCCACATTATAACCCTCCCAATGAGCGTCACTGGTGGCAATGAGGACTGAACATAAATTACAAAAAAAAAACAAATCTGCATTCCAGGAAATTACTAATCATCAAATCTCTATTATCATATCATTAATAATTTTAACGTATCGGTACCTTACATGTTGGATGTTTATTTTTAGTTCAATTAGGTAGGTACCGTCAAAGAAGATTAACACCCCGGGAAAACTTTTGACATAAATTAAACTAAAACTAATCCGGCCGATTAATTAAAATAAATAACTTGACGTCAATTATGGATTTAATTACATGGATATTGCATTACTGATTTATTTATTGACTAGCAATTATAGAACTATTGAAACTTTACTTCCATTAAGGTGGCCAGGTGGGAATGCCGCTGCCGCTTATTATTTGTATAATAAATTCAATTTAATCCATTTATTTGTTTGCGTTTTATAAAAAGCCCATTAAAAAGAAAATAAATCGATTACGAACACAATTGTATCCTTTTCTTACTACCGCTTTCACATGGTAAATCCGTGTACTGAAGAGGAAAATTGCACGTTTAACAGGTGCGGATATTATGAATGGGGAGACCTAAGTGCTATATTTGCGAGTCTTTAATTCCAGAGTTAAACATGTCCTAAGAAACTATTTTCAATGCTAATTGCGCAATAACTAATTGCTAAAATAGACGGAAGTGTTTCTTTATACGTAGGTATTCGAACCTTGTTTTACATGCGCCGCCAACCAGAGTTTTGTATTTTTATTTAAATTACACACTACTTTTGATGGTAGGTAATAGATAATTTTTTTTCTTTGAAACATTATATACAGGTATTAATGAAAACTTGTTCATTTAAGATGTAAGGGTGCAATATCAATTCGAATAATTTCAATGTCACTGCCATCGATCGTGCCGTCGTCAAGATACCAAACATTCGGGTCTGAGTTTAGAAAATATGTTAAATCCATGATAGACAAACTGAATAGAAATGGGGCCAAATTATCTCCCTGTTGTACACCACATTGAGAGTCTGACCATGACCATATACCAATTTAGAAGAATATCTATAAGTTTGCCATATAAATGGATATAAACATGGAATCTCAGTCTCTTCGAAAAACATTGAAGGAATTAGCAAAGACAAATTTCACAATCAAATCTGCATTGTTGTTAATTCATGTCCAAGAAAGTTCGAGCCGAATGCGAAATAGTCGGATGCTATCGGACGAATTCCACCATATTTTTTAAGCAAGGCCGTCAATGAAGCACCAAAAAATATCGGCAGAATTGATTTTGGTAAATTGTCTTCCAGAACGACATCTAAAAATTTGTGTTTAGCTTTTAGTAATACCTACTTCCAATAAACCACTTGCTGCACTATCTTCATTATCTTTATTTAAATCCAAAAAGCGTCCATTGATGACAACGTCAACAGTAGAAATACGTTAAGAAGCTGTTGAACCTACTCGTTTAGTAGTTGATGTATGCTTTTTGGTGTAATGTTGCTTCACCACGCTCAGATGGTAACCTATACAATGGAGCACGAAGTCCAACATAAGTGGTCAGCCATTTGAAATATGGTTGGTACAAATTTACTATATTATTCGTATTCTAATTAGGTAACCGTTGTTAACATATTTAAGTTCTGAACTAAAAATAAAATATCTGATCCAGCTCCTTTCTAGCGGGCAAGATTCCGCATTGATTTCAGTGAGTGAAACAACGCTATACGTATGTGTACGGTTTAGATAAAGGGCTATCAACCCTACATTTTCTTCAACACAAAAATCGTTCAGGGACATTATGAGGTGACTGGAGTCGGAGTGCTCATCGTCATATAATATAAATTGAGAAACTGTTCCTTCCAGCAGCCATATGTATAAAAGACATTAGCGATATATTAAAGAAAACGTTCACCTGTCATCCACCCTAAATCTGAGCGGCCTATAGCCCATTCTTTTGGCTCTTCTTTGGATATGTAATAAAGGTATTCTTTTATGATTAAACATTAACATTGGAGGGGGCATTTCGCCATCAGCGTGATCGTAATGCATTCCTTCTCGTCGTTGTTAATAAAATTATAAACTGCTTTTTCACCTTTTTTTACGATTACCTACTCTTGACTCCTTTAGGACTAGTTTCAGTTATGGACGTTCTACCATGACTCAAGTTTTGAGAAATTCTTGCGATAACCCTGGATGTCGACGCAAAAAACTTTCGTACCACTGGCGACCATTGGCAAATTTCGTTTCTCGTTTAAGAGTTAAATAAAGTCGGATAAAATAGTTGACCTTTAGACCTCTCTTTCTTTAGACCTCAATCTCTCAAACAAAAGTTATAGACTAGAAACCAATTTCGACAAAAAATTCAAACGGCTATAACTTTTGATCTAGTAATCCAATCTTGGAACTGTTTGAAATTATGGATTCTACAGGCCAAATTCTATCAGAAAAACTTCTTTCCCGGTCGATCTGAGACAATTTTTTTTTCAGGCCTCAAAAAAAGGCATACCTATACACTTCCTTTTTTACCAAAAATCGACTGCACCAAAATTTCTCGGGAAAACACTTTTTCGTACTAATTTTGGTGCGTAGAATCCAAAACGAGTCGTACTTTTTCGATTAAACCTCTCAATCAAAAGTTATAGACTAGTAGAAACCAAGTTGTATCTGTAATGGCGCCTGGTGCAGACGCGTTAATGTTAGCTCCGAGTAAAAATTGCAACTACTTATTATGGTAAACTCCCCCTAAGTGGTCTTGAATGTGTTGTATGTGGTGGCCTAAACCACCCAGGGTGCATTAAATATTTAAAGAATGTTGTGTTTATTGACGACAGCAAGATAAACTGCTGCCAAAGTTTAACCGATGACAATGTGGACAATATGCATGTAAGTGCAGATAGTAATTCACTTAAACTAGAAATTCATTATTTGAAACAAGTTATAAACGACAAATGCGCCATTATAGCTCCGCAGCAAGAGGTTATCCATTCATTAAAA